TTGTTAACATATGTAAAGTGCAGCGCCATTCGGAACTAGTTCTGCCGCCCACTTTTGCGCCCCATCCCCACTCTACTGCCCCCCATTGATTCAGTTGCTCATCTCTCCGCTGCTCCGAGAATACAAATACGTGTCTATTATTACCGTCTCGTGTTGTTGTTTACCAACCGATGTGGCTATATTTCTGCTGCTCGATTTCTAGGGAATTTCTGTGGTTCGATGCGCGTGGCAAATTAAATCATCCATTTGGCAATTAAAATTGAAATCGATTTGGCCATGGTACAACGCCAAAGAGAAGGGGGCGTGGCAGGGGGAGAATGAGGTGGAGTATAGAGTCGCATGTCACGTGTTTTGTCAGCTTAAAGTAATACCAATATGTGCTACTCAAATTATCCATAAAGGGGTTAATAAAGAGATATCTAATTACATGAAAAAAGAAACAAATGGTAAACGATTTTGCTATAAAAAGATTTTCCTTTGTTTATGCACAAATGCATGCCATTTCAAAAATAAACTTTGTTTATATACCGATGTTTACGGCTTTATTGGATCTTATTTATAAAATGCTTAGTAAACAAGTGCATACCATTTCAGTACACATTAAGCTTATTACAATTTCTTTGAAGTGAAAATAATATTTTATTTATTAAACGATGAAAGAAATCAACACCAGCTTTAAATATTTAAGGGAATCTTTTGTTATAAAACTTTGTTTACAAAACAAGGAAAGGGGGAATAACCGATTAAAAATAAAGGTTGTTAATGAATAAAATTAATTAATAGAGTTTCCGTCTATAAAACTAACAATAATAAGACCAAATGAAATACAGACTTTCTAATTTGATAACAGTGGGTTATGCGTCATTATGTAGTCAGTTTAACAAATAAAGAGTAAACGTTAATACTTGTTTGTAAATACAGGTGACGTATTTTTGGAAAACATATTTATATGGTTAACTGTGCAAATTAGTTTAATAGTAGTGCAGATAAATGTGGGAAATACAAAATAAGTTTTAATTGAAGAAATTCTTGGGGAGAAAGACAATCTATTAAAATGACGTTTCTAACCAACTAATTTTGTTCCTATTTCTTCCAGGTGAAAGTCAATTGAATCTCTGTTCCTGCGTGTCCGTGTTGCAAAATCGTTAAAACTGCCGCTCACAAACATTCGCTGCGATGGCCACCTCATCGATACTCGCCAAAAGCACAATTAACAGCACATCCCCACCGGCCACGCCCAGCAGCAGCGCCTCCACATTGACCACCCGGAAGCGGACCTACGAGACAGCCATTGCCATGCCGTTGTCCACCTCCAACTCCAACTCCACATCCACAAAGGGATCCGAAGTCCAGGATAAGCGCACAAGCAGTCCTAGTCTATCCGGCGGAAAGTCAAAGTCCAAGGAGAGCGTCCAGCTGGACAGTGTGCTGGTGGTCTCCAGCGAGGGAGCCAGTGAGCCCACCACCGCGGCCACCACATTGAGGGACAGCACGCGCACCATCTCACAGAGCGACGCCGATGACGGAGGCGAGGCGGTTGTCGCCGAGGACGCTCTGTCCTCCATCTCCGCCGGCATTACCACGTCAGATTACCTCAGCGGCGGCGTCAAGCGCAAGTACGTTCCGCAGCAGCACACCACACCAGCACCCCTGGTGGTCCCTGCATCCACTTCACAGCAAATCTTCAACGGTAGCGGTGCCTCGGAATTTGCGGTAAGAATCCATGCTTTTTCGATGAAACTTTTAATGAAATCGTAGATTATATACAAGTGTGCCAAAGAAATCAATATGGCTTTGCAGTAAAATTATTTATTTTTTAAATTATTATTTATTTTTTAAATATTTAAATTGAGAAAATAATAAGGGGTTTCGAAATCACATTTTAAGGTCTTTGAAAGTATGCAACAATTTATTTGAGTCTGGAACTCTGATGAATTTGTTCTCAATAATTGCGTTCTGTTTTTTACTGCATACTTTTTGACACATTGTACGTGATTTTAAAAGTGTAGCAATTACTGTGACCATTCCAATAGTTTAAAAATATAGCTTAAGAAATCACAAGTAACAAAGTAACCCATTTATACAGTCTGACAGCTGTGGACAAATTTTACTATAAATCATTTCAAATTACTATTAATATAAAGAGAATATATTTTCTATTTAACTATAAGAAGTTGGACTAGCAATGTGTGATAAGATTGAGGAGGATTGTGTAGGCGGATGATGCAAACGTCCAGTTGAATGACTCAACTAAATGCTAACATTTTATATTGCAGACCATTTGTAAGCCGGCTCCCTTCTCCCACGACGAGGAGGCAATGCTGGAGCGTGAGAGATGCGACTACACAAAGCGGATCACCTACCAGATGGCCCGCTCCGGCCAGACGAGCCGCCGGGTGAGGGTCTACGCCGATGGCATCTACGATCTGTTCCACCAGGGCCATGCCCGTCAATTGATGCAGGCCAAGAACATCTTTCCCAACGTGTACTTAATCGTGGGTGTGTGCAACGATGAGTTGACCCATCGCATGAAGGGACGCACTGTGATGAATGGCTTTGAGCGCTACGAGGGAGTGCGTCACTGTCGCTATGTGGACGAGGTGGGTTATTCCCCGGATTCGAGAAGATGTATTGTTTATTGACAGCCTTCTCTGCTCCACAGATTGTCCAGAACGCACCATGGACGCTGTCGGATGAGTTCATTGCCGACAACAAAATCGATTTTGTGGCCCACGACGACATTCCCTATGGCACCGACGGAATGGACGACATCTATGCCCCGCTGAAGGCACGCGGCATGTTCGTGGCCACGGAACGCACGGAGGGCGTGTCCACCTCGGACATTGTGGCCCGCATCGTGAAGGACTACGATCTGTATGTGCGTCGTAATCTGGCCAGAGGCTACTCGGCCAAGGAGCTGAACGTTTCGTTCCTGTCCGAGAAGAAATTCCGACTGCAGAACAAGATGGATGAGCTGAAGTCGCGCGGCAAGCGGGAGCTCAGCAAGGTGAAGGTGGACATCATCACCAAATGGGAAGAGAAGTCGCGCGAGTTCATCGACACGTTCCTGCTGCTCTTCGGACGCGAGAACCTCAATCATTTGTGGAACGAGTCGAAGGGCAAGCTGCTGCAGGCCCTCAGTCCGCCGGGCAGCCCGTCGGGATCGGTCAATGGCGACGATACGGAGGGGGGCGAGGACTATAGCGAATCTATTGACGAGTACTTGGAGATGGCCGAGAAGCTGAGCGAGGGCAGCGGCAGCAGTGGTGGCTCCCTGAACGGCAAGCAGAAGCGATCCTCGCTGGCCCGTCGCAGCTATCAAAGTCTGCAGAGTCGATCACCACCAGATTTGGACGCAGATGGGGAGGAGCGGGCGGATGAGTACGAGCGACGCAGCGATTGATTCTAGTGTGCTACGGGACCGGGCACAACCTTTTTCTCTACTCTTATTACTACTGTCTTTGATGCTATTGTAAATTGACTTGTTGGCCAACAAGTAACGTTCGACGGCACACTCTAGATGCCCTAGGATCGCCTCGCAGGCTACTCCTCAAACCCCCATCTATTTACTTTAGCCCTAAGTGGTACTGTAATCCCCTAGTTTTAGTTGGCACTCGTTCTCCTCCTTCTTCTACCACACCACCAATTCCCATCTCCACATTTGAGAATCGAGGAATTCGAAATCCTGTAGCTAATTCAGCTGTGTGTGGAACGTCAAGCAAACCAACACAGAAAAGACTCATTTTTGTATTAGGCACGAAATCGGCAGCAAAGGTAGTTCGAGGTGCCGCAAATATCTAGAAATATTTATATTAAATTATTTCGCATTACATTAAACTAAGTTAACAACACAACAACAAGAAGAACACCAACAATATAAGGAAAACCAAACAAAACGCATTCGGAAAATACAAAAGAAAAACAAAAAAACAGTTGGCAATAGCGGAATTATTGCAAATGCTTTGTTAAATATTTTTTGAAAAATAAACATTGAATCGAAAGAAAGAAAGAGAGTTTATTGAGGTATATTGGGTATTGTAAAACATAGTTATCAAAAAATAGTTATTAAAAAATAACCTTGGTTATCAGTCAAGGTCAGTCAAATATATGAACTTCGTTTCTCAAGTATGCAGTGACGTCATAATTAGAAGATTGCTAATAAATTCTAAAATAATGGTTCGATTTGATGGGTTTTTGGTGTGTTGATAGACATTGATCGAGTAAACATATAGCTGGCCGCTACCCTTTCTCAGAGTGACATGAAAAAGTTTGACGGTTTTTGGGTTAGACATTACTAGAAATTGTATGTTAAGCCCGTAAGCTCTGGCTTTTATACTTGTAGTATCCAAGATCTTGACTACTATATTATTTATTTATATTTATAAAAAAATATACTTTTATTTGTTACTTTTTGACAAACACAACATACCTTTTTTTACTCTACGAGTAATGGGTATAAATACTGGATATTCGCACTTGAATATGTCACTGGCCACTAAAACGATCTATTTGAGATATATATGCATTTTCTCCAAGCATTTGTATTTCCCAGCTATTGCGCATCCATGGCAATTGCGGAATTCTTGCGTCGGCCTTCCGATGATGAAACGGTTCGCCTTGATTGGACACCCATTCCCTCGCAATTAGCTTCCCATTCACCGGCTGGAAGCGGTTCACTGATTTATTTAATGGCGCTGCTGCGGTTTATATATAGATGCATATGCCCATCCATCGCCATCGCCTGATCGGATCGGTGGACCCGTGCCAAGTCAGGCGACTCGTTGTCGCTTCCTATTTGTTTGCGCTTCAATTTGAGGCAATTGAAGATGAGCAATGAATCCGGGCCTGAGACTGCGACCAAGTCGTGTGCCTCGCCAGCCTCCGGACTCAATTGTATTGATTCGCCACCAGTTGCCGCCAATTTATTCTGATCGCCGCTAGTGCGCATTTAGCGGACATCTCTCCCTTAGATTTTCAGACTCAGACTCGATCCTCGACAGAGTAGGTCTAGCGTTCTATGCCGGCACCGTCTCAATTTATATTATCAGTTGTCCGGATATAAACCCGTCGAGCGGATCACTTGTGTTGTACTTAGAGACGTGAATATATATATATATTTTTTTTGTAAGAAATGGATAAAATGCCCGAGGAGGACGAGGTATCCCCAGTATCGACGGCTCCTGCCACGCCCACAACTCCGCTCGAGTTTAAGATGCTGCCACTGTTTATGGATTTTGAGGATTTCGTAAGTTTGTTCGAAAAAAATTCCTTAAAACTTAGAAAACTGCCAAACAAAAATATAATATAATTTTTCTTTAGATAATTTTAGTTTTAAGAAATTTTTTGTAAAAAAACTAAATATTTTTTCTATTAAAAACAATTTGTTTTTAAATGTGCAAACTGATGTCATAAACCAAAATTTTACTAAAATGCTACTTCTTTTCTGAAACTAATTTTCTAAGGATAGCGTATTTGCTCTTAAAAAAATGTATATTTTCCCTAAAATTTAAAGTGAGGTGCCCTTATTTCTTTTCCAGAATATTTGCCAGCCAGCTCCTTTTTCATACGATGACAAGGCCATGTTGGAGCTGGAGAGGATTGACTACACGCAGAGGATCACCTATCAGATGGCCAGGGCTGGGAAAACGACTCGTAGGGTGCGGGTTTATGCCGATGGCATCTACGATCTGTTCCACCAGGGCCATGCCCGTCAATTAATGCAGGCCAAGAACATATTTCCCAACGTATACCTCATCGTTGGCGTGTGCAATGATGAACTGACCCTCCGGATGAAGGGACGCACCGTGATGAACGGATTCGAGCGGTACGAGGCGGTGCGCCACTGTCGTTATGTGGATGAGGTGAGTAACCAGGAAAAATAAAAAAAAAATATTTCGAAATAGGTTTTTAGTTCGCATTACATTTATGGACATTTTTGAAATTTCATTTTTTATATTCCCTATTTTAAAAATATAAGAAACAAACAAATAAATCTTACCTAATTGGATTATTATAAAAAATATAAAAAATGTACCTATGTATAAATATGATCATGCGTGTATTTACCTATCATGGTTCATATTTTATAATATAAAAAAAGTGTATCTATTAGTATGATAATGAGTGTACTTACCTGCTATGAATCAAAATCTCCAAATCTATTAAGAATACATTAAAATCTATTCCCTTCAGATCGTACCGAATGCTCCTTGGACGCTGAATGATGAATTCCTTAATGAGCACAAGATAGATTTTGTGGCCCACGACGACATACCCTATGGAGCTGGCGGAGTCGACGACATATATGCTCCTCTCAAGGCGCGCGGCATGTTCGTGGCCACGGAGCGCACAGAGGGTGTGTCCACCTCGGACATTGTGGCCAGGATCGTGAAGGATTACGATGTGTATGTGCGCAGGAACTTGGCCAGAGGTTACTCCGCCAAGGAACTCAACGTCTCGTTTCTCTCCGAGAAGAAATTCCGTCTGCAAAACAAGATGGATGAGTTGAAAACTCGGGGAAAGCGAGAGTTGACTAAAGTCAAGGTGGACATCATTACCAAGTGGGAGGAGAAGTCGCGCGAGTTTATCGATGCTTTCCTGCTGCTTTTCGGCAGGGAGCGGCTCAACAGCTTGTGGAACGAGTCCAAGGGAAGGATCATCCAGGCCCTCAGTCCGCCGGGCAGTCCGAATGGCTCCATCAACGGTGACGATCCAGATACAACAGAAGGCGGCGAGTCCGAGGATGAGTACATGGAGCTGCCGCCAGAATATGGAGCTGGAAATGCGGGCTCCCGTAGCGAAAAACCGAGGAACTCTCAGAAACACCGCCGTGGCCAGATAAATTCTTCTTCAAACGCCTACGACGATGAGGATGAGGATCCGCAGTAAATGCAACGCAGTGATTGACGGCGGATTTGGCTAGCCTATAAATTTTCCTCTTTTTATACCCTCTAATATAAATTAATTTGTTTTTAATTCGTTGAAACAACGCAATGACACTTAATTTTTACCATTCTATGTGGGGTTTCAAAAGATATACGCGATAAACAATCAGGGGTTATTTGAATGTCATTTTATATGCTTCTCAATTCTTCAATTTCTTAAACAACAAAGGAAACTTTAAATTTATGTTTTGCTTGCTGCCTTTATTGGATTACCATTGATTAGTTGTGCATATGGATAATGTAAATATAAGTTGGTTTAAATTATAGATTAGCTGAATGATTTTTCAAATCATCTTCAATGAAAAAACAAACGTGTTTTTGTTATTTGAAATAACGTTGAAATATTCGCATCAAACTAAAAATACAAAATACAATAAATCTTGATAAGTGATTTACTACTCCTTCATGGAGCTCTGTTCATGCCCATGGCAAACAGGGGAACCATTTTCTTGCCCTTGGCTTTTTTCTGCTTCTTGGACTCGGCGGGGGTAGCTCCTCCATTGGCTTTTCCTGCTTCCACCTTTTGCTTTTTCTGATCCAAGGCTCCCACCAAAAGTTCACCCAGACCCCAGTGGCCCAAAGATCGTTGCTCTAAATCTTCATCACTGGTTTTGGTGGTCGCTACAGCTCGTGGTGGCGGTGGAGCCGAACGACCCCAAGCGCCCACCTGGAAATCCAATGATGCAGCGGTATTGCCAGGGGAGCCACTTCCAATAGTGGGCCACAATTCCTGCTTGGGACTGGCACTGGCCAGAGTGACGCTGGAGTAGCGTGAACCACTGTCCTGCCGGTTAATTGTCATGGGCACCGAGCCACTGGGCGTCGGTAAAGCCTCCTCGAAGCCGAACTATTTTAAGGATTTTTTTTGCATTAAAAGCATAGACAAATAGGCAAGGTAAACTCACAGTGGGAAATTCATGAGAAGAGCTTAAGTTGAGGTTTGCTGCACTGGCAATTAGTTTGCCCATCTGACGGTCATTGATTTCGTTGATGTGCTGCTCCCTCTTGCGCTCCTCGCGATCCCGACGCTGACGCTCCTTCTTACGATGAAGAATATCCTCTGTAGAAACACAACTTGTTGGTTTTATTTGTTAAATTAAACTAATAGTTAGAGTTTACTCACCTTTAAAGAGTTTGAGTATTCCTCCAGAGACAATTGGCGGTTGCAGTTCGACTTCCACAACCGAAAACTGGCAAGTCAAAGGCAAATGACCAAGACAGGTGAACTTGCGACGATGCTCCTCGTCCATGGAGTGCTGCTCCATCTGCACAATCTGTGCTTCAATCAGCAGTGGACCCAAATCCAAGGTGCCGTAGCATGCTTGCAGCATCTTCACATTCAAGGGATGCAAGTAGATGTTTTGTCCATCGTTGGACTGGTAGAAATAATAATAATGATTGTTAGAGGAGGAGCTTAGACTGCTCATTGCCTCTCCCGATGAAATGGAGGCATCGTCTGTCTTCTCAATATCAAGCTTGGTTTCCTCCTCCAGACAAAGCACAGGTGCTGGTAGTTCCTCGTGCTCCTCTTCTCTGGGATCGGGTTTCTCCAGTCCCAATTTCTCACCACGCTCTTGAAGCATCACAAGTGCCTGCTGAATAAAGACGTCCTCCGGACAGGAGTCATCCGATTCGGCTAGCAGTTCGCCACGCTCCCTCTCAATTATGGCGCCCACGTCGGACCGCTTGGCTATTAGAAACTTGGAATACCGTTTAGCTTCTTCGCCAGCGGACACGAATGGGAAACGTTCAATGGTTTCTCCTAGTCCTGCAGCCTGTTTTTCGATGTACATGCAGCCCTTGCGGCGGCGCATCAACTGGAAGGTAATCTTTTCGCCCACTTGCAAATCCCTCTGCTGCTCGATGGTGCAGCTCTTCAGATCTCCGGCGTGAATGGCGTCATAGCAAATGGGACACTTGCGCCAGGTCTTGTCGCTCAGCGAGAGATAGTGCAGCAAGCAGGGCCAGCAGTAGGCGTGGCCGCATCTGGTGAGCTTGGCCGCCACCGGGGGATACAGACAGATGGGGCACTGCAACTCCTCCGTGGTCTGGATATTGATCTGTTCGATATAGCTCCAGTCGATAAGCGTATCTGGCGATCCATTCACCTCGGCCTTGGCCCCCGATCGAATGACGAACTGGAAGTTGGCCTGCAGGAACTGCTCCTTGTTGTAGCGCTGCTTCCGGATGCCCAGGCCATGGTGCTGCTGGTGGTGCTGATGATGGCCGCCACGCTGCAGTTCCCTCGGCACGCAGTGAAAGTTGAGCAGGTGGTTCAGATTCTGCTTCTTGCTGCCCTGTGCGTACACAGAGTTGAGTTCATGTTCAAAGTCACCGCTACGAGGGTAGCCAGCGCCATAATGGTCTAGTCGGGCGCCGCCTGGAGTCCAGTCTTCGCCGCGGGATGCAGGGAAATCGTATGTCCCGCCGCCTCCGCCGCGAGCCCTTGGTCGCTTGTCCACATTGGGACGTAGCTTGGCAGGTTGCTGTGCCTGTTGTTGTGGTTGCTGCTGCTGCTGTCTGACGCTGCGCTGTTGCTGCTGCTGATCGTTACGTGGTGTGGGAAGCTGCTCCCGTCGGCGGTTCTGCCGCTGCTTGTTGCCGTTGGCATGTACTTCTACGGGAAGAAAGTCGAAAGATGTGAGAAAACTGGAGTATTGAAGGATGCAGAAAATGTTATTTGTAAAACCTATTCTCTCTAATTTAACGCTTTATCTACCAATCGCTCCCATGGACAGTTAGTTTCTTAAAAATTAAATTAAAAATCTGGACAAAAGGCTGGTCAAACGAAACGCTATGCTAGAAAAAACTGAATTTTATATGTAAATAGAGAGCACCCACCACTGGACTTCCTTTGCGAATCACCAGACGAGGATTTGCCATGATGAGAGGATTGAGGCTGCTTCTTGCTGCTGCTGTTGTTGCTGTCCATCGTTGTTGTTGTTGTTGTTGTTATTGTTATTGGGGTAATGGGAAGTACTAATAGTATTGGTGTTGGGCAGCTGCCAGTGGGCAGCTAATTGCGTCTTGCCTTGGTCTCCACACGGAGTGCGTCTAGCAGAGTATTCTCGTTGCGGATTCATGTTTACTGAGCCATGATTATTCAACGGGTACGACAAGAAATAATACTTGCGTAATATTTCCAAAATATTCAAGCGGCTTTCGCGAGGAAACGCAGGTAAATTCAAGGCGAGAAGAAAGTACTAAAAAAGTACTTTGACTTGCTATATATTTTCTAGCACTTGTTTTGTTGTTGTTGTGGTGTTAGTCTATGCCCGTCGCTTGCGGTAATAGTATTAGTAATTGTAACGGTGCTTTCGTATTGGTGACTGAAAAGGTGTGACGTCTGCGCTGGCTGCTTTTTTGGGGTCTAAAACTAGCCTTTTCCGACAATTTCCACTTGCCAATTGCACTCAAGCTGCCGGTATATGGTCTCCGCTATTGGGGTGTTTCGATTTGACGTCTCGAAATCAACGAATTTTGATAGAAAAACCAAATATCCTTTGGTCAGGGAGAAAAAGCATCCGCGATGCCCTATGCAAAATGGCTGACTGTAAGTGTTGGAAAGTGCGCTGCAGACAGGTAGAGGTGCACTTTTAGATGGTCGTGAGTAATTGCAACTATCGCATGGACAATGGTTTTAAAAATGACAACAATTTTGAAAAAAGATGCTTTGCATTACAAATGAAAAGACATAATAAAATAAGCTTGCATTTTCAAAAGAAAATAACAATTTATTCTCAAGCTTCTCGAATAGTACTTGATTTACATTTCATATCAAACAGAAACACACGTACCGAAGCGTTTAAATTAATATCAATACATATAATAAGCCAAAATCATGCCGTTAATACTAATTTGTTTTTAAATATTTATCTTATCTTTGAAACCCAGTGTTGTAAAGTACATTACTGTTACTCCAAAGGCCATCTCTATTAGAAGAAACATCTGTTTTTGTTATCTAGGCCGCACTTTGATCAGCCTTTGAATAAAATATGTTAAAGTCAACATTCCAATAACCCCAATCAGCATGGACTTTCGGAATGCCCGTGCCCGGCAGCCGGAGATTGTCCGATCCGTGCAGAAGGATGCCCGGTACACCAACGAGTTGGCTGAGGATTTCTCGGATGTCCTCCGGCTCACCGGTCCACGGAACTGGATCAAGTACAACCAGATGTGCAGGCTATTGGCGGAGCTCAGTTACCACGGATTCGCATCGGCCAACAGCCTCCAGACACTCGGCGAGGAGTACACAGGAATCATACAGGTTGATGGCAACTACAAGCAGATTCCCAGTAGATTGGTAAGCGTAAATACAGGATTTTCAAAAATATACTCTATAATTTCGACTTCATTTCAGCTACAACTTATATCCATTGTCTTGGAGTTTGGTGGCGACTCCCTGTTCCAGCGACTGCTGCAAAAATTGGACACATATGTGGCAAACCACGAGGAGATCCGACCCGAGGTCAAACCGCAGCTTAAGAAGGTTATCCAACGGTTGAGGCATTCGCCCAGCTATGTGAAGGCCCTGCACAAGTCGCTCTTCTATTTGGACGCCAGAAAATACCAACTGTCCAAGCGCACTACTGGCATCAACTACGTGCTCATCCGCCACTGGCTACAGCCGGAATTCTCGCTGTACGGCTACAAGATCCTGGGGATAATCACATTCCTGCAGGTAAGCGTTTCGTTGGCCATCAGTGGCTGGGACGCCTGGCTAGAGCACAAGCGGCAGCAGTTGGAGGCGATTAAGCAGGCCGGGAAGAAATTCCTGCAACGAGGATCGAGTGCACAGAGCGCAGATCCTGATGCTCCACAATGCATCCTATGTCTGGAGCCACGTTCCAACAGCAGTCTGACACCCTGCGGGCACATCTTCTGCTGGAGCTGCCTGCTCGAGTGGCTGGAGGAGCGGGATGAGTGTCCCTTGTGCCGGGAGTCGCTGAAAAAGTCACAAGTGATACCACTACAGAACTATGCTTAAGGATAAATTTAAGATTTGCCATTGATTTGTATAGTCTTTTTATATGTACATGTATTATTCATCTAAAAGAAAAAAAAGAAGACGAATTGGTCAGAGAGTTTATTTTTATATTGTTTATTTTGTTTATATTGGTAGGTACACTTATTGTAAATAATGATCTTAGGTTAAGGCAAATAAAATGTTGTTAGCAAATTTTTATTTTGCTTTAATTTTATAACCCTACATAAGCATGTACACAATATTATTAAAAATGTTTTAAAAAAGACTTAAACAATGATGATTTACTTAAATTAAACTTCTGTGTTGACATGGGATTTACAAATTTCTCAAAGTCGTGCTACCCAACAAAAAAAAAAATAACTAAACTTCTATGCAATCTTTAGATTTATAGATTTATTCAAACAAGTCTATGTACATTCCATGTGAAGCAGCTTAGAGACTATGCTGTTCACGCCCTATATCTGGTTAATATGTTTGGTTTTAGTCTTAATGTTACATTATATTATTTACAATATACATTAGCTATGGTCAAACAGTCGAGGGTTAATAGCCCTAACAATGTCCAGGAAAACGGTGCGATTGAAGATCTGCTTCCTGCGGCATGATTCGAAGGCGGATAGTGCCTCTGCAGGGGATTCGAAAGCCACACGGGTGTCCCCCGTGGGTTGGCCTTCATCGTTGAAGCGCCGTATGACATCATCCGGACTGAGTTTGTAGTCGCTGAAGAAGCGCAGGATATCCTTAAGTTCCGCCTTGTAGGGAACATTTCGCATGGCCACCACGCATCCCGGACGATTGAACTTGTCGGGGATTAGGGAAGAGGCAACTGGCGGCGCTGGAGAGGTTTGCTTGCTTTGGCTTTGATGGCTGGGCGAAAGGGAGGAGCTGCTGCTCAGGGCAGGATCTGGACGAGCGAAGGGATTGAAGTGCTGCTTGACGGGAGCATTGGAGCTGCCATTGCTGTTCTCTTCCTTTTCCAAGGACTGCTGTCGCTCCTGCTTTTGTGGTGGCGGCTGATCCTGCTGATCCAGACTACTACCGATGTCACCGAAGCGACTGGGCTTGCGACGCCGAGATTGCTTGCCCTCCTGACCTCCACTGCCTCCATTTCCGCTACCGCCTTCACTAACATTGCCAGACTCCACTTGTCTGGGACCATTTCCTCCTGGCAAATAATCCATAAAGGGTTTATTCATCTTATCGGCAATCTCCTGCGGTGTAATGGCCACCACTCGCAATCCCCTTCCTCGAAAGCGGCGATTGTGGAACTCCCTAATGGCCTGCTTGCAACTGACAGGATCACAGAACTCCACAATAAACTCCCCGGAACTCTGGTTACGTTCATTGAAAAGCTGCTCGATGTGCTCGATGCGCAGGTTCTCGAGCGAGAAGAGTTCCCCCAGATCGTTGACCCTGGTGGCATACTCGCAGTTGTGGACACGCACGAAGACATCCTCCTGCCGCGGACGCTGGAGACCACCACCTCCATTATCGTTGGGATAGTTGGGTCCATTGCCATTGGGATTTCCACCATTGTTGTTCATATTATTAAAGTTGTTATTCATGTTGAACGGGAAGTTGTTGCCCCCATTTTGTTGCTGAGGTGGCATATTGAAGGGCATGTTGCCACCATTAACAAAGGGATGTTGCATCATATTGTGATTCATATTGGGGTTCATATTCATATTGTGATTCATATTCATCTGCTGCTGCTGCTGCTCCTCCGCCTGGCGTCTTCTGGGATCGGCGGCGAATCTACTAGCCTGGTTGAGATCCTGCTCCTGCTGTTGCTGCTGCTGTTGCAGTTTCTGCTGCCTTCTTTGTTGATCCTTTAGAAGCTCCTCCCGCTGATCGGCTTCCTCCTTGAGCAGCTGTTCATTGGCCCGGCGCTGTTTCTCCTTGGCATTCTGCATCTCCGCCTGACTGCTGGGACTCACCCTTAGCTGACGGAACCCTATATAGTGCTTGCCAGTGTCCTGCAGAGCGGCCTCGGCCTCCGATTCCCTGGCGAACAGGACAAAGGCCACACTTTCGCGACGATTGTTGGGACTGCGGCTCAGGAGGATGTCCACAACGGTGTAGCTGGCGGAGAACATCTTCATGATTTCCTGTTCGGTGGCATGCTGCGACAGGTCCTCCACACGCAGGACATTGCTAATGGGTATGGGCATGGGCATGCCACCTCCTCCTCCGCCCCGTTCGCTCCTATCTCCTCCACCACCATTATGATTATGATGGTTCCGGCCCCCTTCGTTTTGCTGGCGATTGGCCAGCTCCTCTGCCCGCTCGAATTCTTCATCGCCCACGGGAACAATCTGAATCAACTGATCCTTGAACATGGTGTTGTTCCGCTGCAGCGCCTTCTGGGCACTGGACACGCGGGAGAACTCCACGTAGGCCACTCCAGTGCGACTGCCATTCGAGGTCATGATCTTAATGCCATTGTGCGGAATGTACAGGCCCTGGAAGTACTTGCGTATGTCACTGTACGAGGTGCTCTGCAGCATGCCACTGATGCGAATGTAGCAGGTATCTGCCACGGCCACCGGAGTGTTGCCTCCTCCGCCCGGAGAACTGGCCGCCATGGAGGGTGACAGCTTAGCCGGAGCCTGTTGCTGCTGGAGCAGCATCTGTTGCTGCTGGAACAGCTGCGGATACATCTGCGCATAGGGATTCACGCTGGCAAAGGCAATCGGTTCGCCTTCGCTTTTGGATGGCTGCACCTGAACTGGACTTACTCCTGAGCTGGCCACCTGCTGCAGTGCGGCCAGCAGCTGGGCATTGGGTACACTTGGGGCGAGATTATAGTTGTTGGTCACATTGTTGTTGGTGGTGTTGCTGGTGGTGTAGCTCTGGAGTGAAGGCAAAACCGGTGGCATGTTCAGGCTCAAGCCCACGTTGAGACCCATTCCCATGCCTGGCAACGTCTGATTTTGCGATGGCTGAGCCCAGGGCGATGGTGATTGGGTCGTCATCTTGACCTCCCTTTCCTGGCTATTATCGAACCGGTCGGAGCGACGTTTGCGACCGCGTTCCCTGTCCCGTTCCCGCTCACGCTCTCGATCGCTATCATCCGAGCTGGAGGAGCGACTGCGACTGCGGCGACCACCCGTGACCTCGGACAGGGTGATCCCCGCCTGCTGTTGGTAGGCCAGAAAAGAGGGCACACCACCTTGTACCTTGGCCTGGCCCAGGAAACTGCCCAAGCCGCCGATAATCGGTGGCATGGGAGCAGCTGGACCTGGCTTGGCCATCGACAATGGAGCAACGACTGGCATGGGCACCGGAACGGCAATTGGTGCTGGAGCGGCGGAGGCTCCTTTCCGGGCCGTCTCGATGACCTTCTGCATCTCGGCCCGCGAGGAGAGCAGCAGGCGCACCTGGATCTCCATCAGCTTCTCGCGATCCTTCAACATGGCGCAGCGGGCATCCTCGTCGGTGCTAATATTGGATTATCAAAGGGAGAGAAAAAAAATAAAGGCAAAAAATCAGGGTATATACTCAATACGGAATTATTCGAAGCACTTTTGTGGGAATGCGGTAGGCTTGATTATTCGCCTATTCTTCATCAGCCAGCATATTTTATGCAGTCAAAATAATAGCACCATGTATTCATTCATTTCATACGGTATTTCCAAACAAATCGGCATAAATTCCGGGTACAAATATCCATATAAACGAAATTTTGTCACCTTTTGTTGAAACAATGAACACTGTTTAAACGCTGAGTTTAAACATTTTAAAACTTGTATATATAACTAAACTTTTGTATATATGGACTTTTCAACTAAATGTCAACTAATATTGTCCAACTTTTAATAAAAAAAAAACTCAGCAAATATTTAATAGTCAAATGGCAAAAAAAAAATGTTTTCCTTTTTTTGTTGTCATGTTTGGATTAAATAGGCTTTTATTATTTTTGTTGTCATATGTATTAAACACTCTACACACTTTTCACGATATAACAAAAAAAATGAATTCAGCTGATCCAAAATTAAAATAACTAAGCCCAGCATTACCAAGATAATGGGTCTATAACCCAATTAAGAAGATAAGGATTTGTATTTGAAAATTATTGATTATTGCACCAAAGTTCTGATGATTTATTTCGATTTCTCTCATGGCTACCGTACAACATAGACTTCTAAATACTACAAAAACGAATCGAGTCTAAACGAATTTAGAGTCTAAAAAATTAACAATAGAAACAACGTACTTAAATAAAAAGCTATAGCTCGCAGTCTTTATGACTGAAATTTATTTTGTTGCGGCAATTATAATAATTTGCTAAAATCGCTCCTAAGAAGTATTCAATACATTGCCAATAGATCAGGATATTTTTTTGCCGCGTTAAAGACAGTTCCATAATTTCAAAAACTAATTTAATTTAATAGAATTTGTTCCTTTTTTTCAACTTTCGATAACCAACAATTACTTGCTTACTGTTAAATCTGACAATTTCATAACTTCATTTTTAACAAATTAAAGTTAGGCTTCCGATGTTGGTTTATTCTTTGAGCTTAAGGATAGGATACGATTACCCGATATATGCTCCAGATACAGATATATTGCCGTACTTACTTTTATTTAACATTTAACTTGTCTTTCCTACTGCTTAAATTTTGTTCGTATCTGTACCTTTTGGTCATTGAATATTTTTTTTTACTTTTGACGATTTTTGTATATAATCCACAATAGTAGCTGAAAACCCTTTTCTTCAGTTTGAAACTTGCAATATGCAATACTTTAATTGTTTAAAAAGAGACTTTTCTGTAATTTTTTATGGCATTTGCTTTTTCAGAAACTATTAAATGTTAAATAAATCTATGGGAACACATCAGAACAATCATAGGCATGATCAAGTGGAATTGAATATCTGCAAGGACGTATTATTAGGGCTGATATTACCTTTTTAAGTCCACAAAACCATTTCCAAACATACTTGCATGGCTGGAAAATTGCAAGTTTTTTTTAAAGGTATTTTCTTAGTGCTATTATTTTGACCGCAGCTGTGGAGACATGCTTGAAAAGAGCCCGGCAGCGACTTAAGAGAGGCTCAGGCCCCGACCCAAGTCTAGACCCGCTGGAGCTCCGAGAATTCTATGGGTTTACATATAGATCAGAGATTGTGGCTAACTACCTGAAAGCGATGAAAGCGTCGCCCATCTCGCCGCCGATTATGTGGACACCGCCCTCGGGAATCGCTAGGCCCGAGAAGAAGTTTCGAATGTCGCGGGCATTTGCCGTCCACGGCAAATTTTGTAACCGAATAATCACACTCATCTTGATCAACCAATTGATTTGATTAGCTATTTATTTCTTTTTTTTTGGTATAGACAGAGAGTTTACTGTCTGGATGGATTCGCATCTAAAGACTGTACGCATATTCTTCAGTTGAACATCAGTCTGTCCATCACCTTGGATACTGGTATGATATGGTTGTCCGTGGATTCTTGAATCTGTAACGATAATCGCAGACTTATGGAGAATTTGCCAACATAATCGAATGTCTTAAAATACTATGTTCCAGCACAAGATCAGAAATACGCTTTCTATCTTTTATGCTTTATTTATATACAAATCCACTAAAATGAATTCTCCTAACTTTTGGCTTCCCAAAATAAACTTTTTATTGGAAGAAATAAGATTTAAGTTAATTAAATATTGATGTACTGTTTATTAAACAGCTTATTTTTCATAACAACTAAACTAAGTACTGAAAAATATCAAGGCGCGATTTTTCATATCAAGCTAAAGGCTATCTATATCCTTATTTTCAAACCCTATCTAAATTAATAGACATTACTCTTAACTTAAAAGCTAAACCAAAATAAACCGGAATTAAATTTAATCAGAGCAACGATTCTCTTTTCTTACTCTTTCCCAAAATTCGCGTTTTAAAATCCTCAAATACCAAAAACCTCAAACCCCACTTATTATTCATCACACGCTATATTTTAATTCTGTATTTCCGATATAAACTATTTTGTATGACCATTTCCTTGGGGAAAAACTGGGCTCTGCTCCTGATTATATCTCGATTTAATCTTTCGACACATTTGATCGTTGCACTCACATTAGGCGCTGCAATTCATGGATTCGCATTAGGCGCTGCAATTCATGGACTCGCATGGCAGTTTCTCATGACAATTTTTGGGTCTAACCAAGCGTCTAGCGTCTGTTTCGGTATTGCGTAAGACGACCAGTTTGCAGCAGGTTGGGAGCTCTCCTTAACCCGCAAACAATATTAAGGTCTAAATGAGGTCTCACACTTACCCGTACAGCAACTGGTGACCTTCACACATGATCTTACCAAAGACAGAAAGGTATTCGCAGAAGCAAAACTAAATATAACTAATTAAGGTGTAAGGTGTAGGCGGTGTTCCCACAGATCCACCTGCTCCACGATCATTAGTCCGCTTTTATTTCCTCATTAGTCGCATTCAATTATGTGCCAAAACGAGACGACTCTTTGTCCATTGCTAGAGGATGAGGCATCGATGGATCGGGACTGCGGGTTGCGGGAGGATCGACGACGACTGCTTTCCCAAAGCAGAAGTGGCTGGAGAAAACCCGTTGATCGTTTTGAACGTAATGGGAAAGCGATTATGCAGCTTTAGTTCAATCGGCACTGCTGTGATTTGAGCTAATGCAATTGCCTGGCGATGTCGGTTTGTTTGTGTCCCGGTGTCAAAGACATTAGGTATCCAGAGCCGAGGAGCTGGCTACAGGAAACCCAAACCAAACCAAACCAAACGAAACCGAAACAACTCCTTCCGCCTGGCTATATAAAAAGCATTGTTGGCATCTCGGACCGGCAGTAAGAAAATCGAATTGACCGCGTTACCGTCTCCGTCGCAGTCGGTCGTCATCGATCCTCATCGCTAACATCGCCATCATCACGACACGTTCATCGTTAAACGATCGGATCAATTGATTGATCGATCGCATGTGCGGAGGATTAAAGCAATGAGAAACTCGACAGTGAGTGAGATCGATACAAATAGGATTACCATTAAAAGTGTGTCATGAACTGTGGACTAAGCTTGATCGCGCAGCAGTGTTTGACCATATTGATGCGATCCTCTAATCAAGCGATCGTTTCTGGGGTTAAAATAACTTGTGTTTGAATTACAAGAGCAACTTACTGTTGGATTTCCTATGGATCTTCTCTTCAACCAAATGATTTTCGACTATCACTTATCCAAATTCACTTTAGTCGTTATATGTCATCCAATTGAAATAAGTATCTTAATATTTAACGAAGATATTCCAAACTATGCTCATACTATATAAATAAACGCAAGTTTACCATAAAGACCACCACTGCAATACACAATTTAAAACTTAATTAGTTCCTTGTTAAAACGTTTTTCATTTAAATGCAGAAGAAAAATTCAAATCGCTCAATAGCCTTACCAACATCAAGAGCGAATTGATTAAAGAAATCTTGAGCGCCAAAAATTCAAAAAATTCTAAAGAATGATAAGTGCGATATTATTTAAAAAAAAACATAGAAATTTATTTTACAAAACCAACCAACAAACTGTTAAGAAAAACCCAACATCCACCAAAAGTATAAAGAAACGGACTAATCCATTATCAAAAAAGAGCATATAACCAAAAATGCTAAAGATTGATTCTTTTGTTTGTATATTGATTTGAATAGTTGAGCTAAGCTGCATAAATTGTTGAATCCTAATTATATAATAGAGTGAGCTCCAACTACCCATGACTTATAGAAACGATATGGAGAATATTCGTAAAGAAGTTCTGTATATATTCTTATTAAAATTTTGGTTTTTCTTAATTGAGTTAGGAAGTTAGGGAATTACTCTAGGGCCTTACTAACCCATCAATCTATTCGAAAACAAAGGAAGTTAAAAAAAAGACAATAAAAAATGTGAATCTTCCAGATTACCCGCATTCATATGGCCGCCGTGGGCCTGCTGCTGCTGGTGGGCGTGCACGGGACAACGATAATCAGCATCAAGTACCCGGAAAACCCCGCGGAAGTGATCGTGGAGCCGCAGCCAACCAAGCGGGATCTCAGCCTAAGCTACGCTGCCACCAATATCGACTCCAAGGAGGGGACCCGCGTGAAGACCATCACGGTGATCAAGAATGTGGGCGGCATTTCGGGTACTGAAGAAGCTGCGGCGCTGGGAGCACCCGCCAGCAGCCACAAGCAGCTGCAGCCAAAGCTGGTCATCGATCCAGCTTTGCATAAGAGCGAGGAGTGGGCCACGGCCTTCCGGGATAACTTTGACTCCTATGGAGCACTGCCCGATGTGCCCGACATCGATGACCTATTCGAGTTTGTGAATCGCAAGAAACCAGAGGTGGAGGTTAAGAAACAGGAGGCGGTGCCCAGTCAAAAGGAGGAGAAGGTGCCGAAGGAGTTAGCAAAGCCGGCGGAGGAGGAAACCACCAACAAGAAGGCAGCAGCAGATGCCGCCAGTGAACAGAGCGAGGTAGGAGGGATAAACCCCACTGGCAACATCGATAGCGACGAGGCTGTGGTCGAAAAGATCAAGGGTGATGCTGAGCTGTTGCCGCACATCAAGCAGGCCAATATCCTGCGCCTCCAGGCGGCCCAGGCTAGATCCGGCATCCGCACCAAGGAATCGCTGATCGCGGTCAACTACTCCACGCCCATGCACCAGGTGAGCCAGTACTTCGACAACTATGTCCAGGCGATGCCCAATGGGTACGATTACTCCAAGCCGTGCGGCTTGCAGCCAGGCAACAGTATCCAGGTAACCACACCCTCGGGCCGCACCTACGACATCCCGCAGAGCAACAGCAGTGGCACTGGCGGAGGCAATCATCCGTACCTGGCTCCAGCGCTCACGAAGAAGACGCAGATTCCGCCGATAACGGTGCAGCCTCCAGTTCAGCAGGGCGGTCCTCCCAATTACTCCTACGTGAATTCGATAGTGCCGCCCATAGTGAAACAGCAGTCACAGGGCAATGTGAATCCTCCGCAGCAGCAGCCACAGCCTCAGCAACCTCCTCCTCCTCCTCCGACTGGAGGCTTCCTGCCGCCTCTGGGATCAGGCGCGGGCGGAATATCCACCAGCCAGCGTCCCTATGTCGCGCCCAGGCTGCGCAACAATGGCTTGGGCATCAGCCGTGCCCCAAGCAGCACTCCGGGACCGATTCCCGTACAACCCGGACCCGGCCTTGTGGCAAATCAACCGCAGCCCCCGAACTACCGCACCAGCATCTTTGGCGGAGGCCAAAATCGTCCCAACACGCTGCGATCACGTGGCCTAAAGTATTGAGCACTTAAACTAGACATGCGGTCAAAATAATAGTTCTTAGAAGAAGATTACAATACAAATTGTCAATTAAAAATAAGCATAACTGTGTCATTTTAAAATAACAGAATTTTTAATATACAAAAAAAATCGGAAATTATATAATAGCATTGCCAGGAGGTCAAAGAACAATATATATAATATATATTTATTTTAAAATTCAAAAAATTTTACTTTTCCTAATATTTGATCAAATTGTTATTATTAGGACATAGTAAAGAACGCTAAGAAAAGTAACGAAGATGTTGTCATGGAGAGGTAAAACTAAATTGCTGTTCTTTTATTCCCTAAATAGCGTTACCATGGTTGCTAGCGTCGCTTTTAGACCGAAGCATATTTTATTATTTAAGAAAAATCCATAAACTTAAATTAAACTAATAAGCAAAAGGTATTATATTTGTCATCCGAAAATCACGCTAATAACGGAGTGGGGTACCAAAAACCCAATAACAACAATACAAATTGGTGGAATCAATAAAAAAAATTAATCAAAAATGTTGTTGAATAGAAGGGTGATAGAACTATATATTTAGGAATTTTTCTTAATTGAAATAAGGTGTTAGCCACTGTATTTGCTTTCTGTAAAATAGTCTATAACGAAACGGCTGAAGGTCAGAGAAATATGTATTGTACCTGCCCTAGACTATATCTTATATCTTCCGTATTTTTCCGTTTCGAAAAGATCAAGATAATATTAAGATATCGCATAAATGTCTATAAACAACCGTATTTACTACAGGTTTTGTTATATTTTGATATCCCATATATTTTAACACTAAATTGTATACCGTTTTAAAATAATTCGTTAGTAAACCCATTGTATTGTTACACATTTTGTGCTACGATTTTTTTTAGGTGTTTTTCAAATACTTTACACGGAATGTTTTTTTTACACTATGTTCAATAATCTTAAAATGGTGCTAGTAAAACACAAGCTTAACTGTACCTCAATATTTTCCTGAATAAAAGTGAAAATCGCACCGAATTCAACGAGGCAGACCACGAAGAGAAACCAGCGAAGCGCTTGCCACTAATCAATACTAATTCACCCACTTTTAGTAACTTGTTTTAACTAAATTTCACTGTATTCTGACGTTTTCTTTGTTTTATATGCGTAGCACGCTCCTATCGCTCGACGTTGTTGTTGTTGCTGCCTCGCAGTTGTTGTTGCAGCATCTCCGGAAGAAGAGAAAGCGAAACGAACGGCGAGGAGAGGCAGAGGGGGCGTAGCGTCGCTGTTCTAGGTACGAGTAGTGAATTTATTCAATGAACTTTTACTTACCACGAAAACCATACAAAACGCAACTTATTCTGGACTACCAATGCACAAAGACAGGTGGGTTCGTTTTGGCTCAATCTCTTTATATTTATTTGGATAATTTCTGCAGTTGATCGTGCTGAAAAATGTGATTTTCCTGGAAGCAACACAAAAATGAAATGCTGTGTTGTAATTTTCTGCGCTTGTATAAGTGACAGGGATAAAAAACAACATGGCGACTTGATTAGTGTGGCTGTCGGCCGACAGCTCTATAAAACCCATTTTGGCGACGACTGGTCACTCTGATCCAAAAACATTAGCGGCATTCATGGAACTAAATTATATTCATAAAAGGATTCTTAAATAAGAAAATCATTTTTTAATCTTTTATGGTAAGTCGAAAAACAATTTGTTTATTCAAGTTTCAGCTAAGAATATGTTACCTGTGCTGTATACGAAATGATAATCGTGTGTCTAAAAAACCCCTATTTTATAACTATTATATAAGACTTTTCTTTAAGCTCAATGTATGCATAGCAATGATTGGCAGTGACTTTCAAATGCTGAATAAGGTCTCACTTAACCAGAAGATAAGATTGCATAAACAAACCAATTTCACAGTTTTCATATGAATTAATATGCTTCTTAAATAAGAAAATCAGTTTTTAATCGTTCATGGTAAGTAAAAAAGCAATTTATTTGTACAATTTGTTTCAGCTTAGAATATGTTACTTCACCGAATTTTATTTAGCGCGACTTGAAAATGTTCGGTCTGTCCGTCCATATAAAAGTCAACTTCTCTGTCTTTTAACAATTAAAGTTAATCGAAATGCTGAAATTGGTTAGGCGCAACTAGCATATTTTGTTACATAAAAAAACGATCTAATTATTAAACTTTAAGTGAACAGGCAAATGTAGTTAGATTTAAATTAATAGTTTTTAGGGCTTCCAAAAATTATTTGAGATGCTTACGTAATTTATTAAATACATTCAGTTTCCCAACATTCAAAACAAAATAAGAGGATTCAGTGGAAAACAGCTATTTCTTGCGCCAACGCAAATGCAGCGCAGTGTTAACTCATGTGGTATTTAATTTAGTTTACCAACACCTAAGGAAAATACCAAGTATACACTCCACCGCAAAACATATGTTTCGGTATTTTTTATGTATTGGCATGCAGATTTCCGCAGTTATTGTAGTTAGGTCACACACCGACACAAATCGTGCGTAATTTTCATTTATTTTGCTCCGCTTTCCTTCGCTGTTTTCACACCCACAATCGGGAAAAATACACCCAGGAGTTGGGACCAAACATTGGACAACATATTGTGTACGTTCGCGGGCATAATTAACCGATTTAGGCGATTTTTTTAGCCTCGTAAAACGCGACGACGTCAGTGGGCGACGCGACTGGCGTCAGGTGAAAAAAAACCGAAAGAAAAACTAATAATTGAAAATTGAACGGGAGCAGCGGAATTAAACGGAAATTGCAACTGTGAAAACGCTCGAAAGCGTGGAGAGTTGCATTTGAAAAAAGGTAATTAGCGTGCCAATTAAAATGGAATTATTCGAACTGTGCGTGTGTTTGTGTAAAAGTTGTTTTCCCTGAAATGGCAAGTTGTGAATTACCCGATTCGATGACGAAATTAGTGAGCGTGTTTAATGTATGTACGTGTGTGTTGTGTGTTTTTATTAACGAGACCCATGTATTATTTTTGCATTGATAAGCAATGTGTGAGAGTGTGAGTGGTTGTGGAAGGGGAAGTGGGAGGGAAAGAGATAAGCCCTCAGTCTTCTTCTTTCTCCTCCACTCTCCAAAAGGTCGTATTCGCATATGTTATTTACAATCCATATTTTGTGTGCTTGAAATTCAATTAACCCGCTGAAGCCCCACAAAGTGCTCTGACCACCCACTCCCTCCATAATTAGCAACTTCCCAGCCCCCATCCTTAATCGCAATATGGCTTTTACTCGTCTTTCGCCACTTTTGGAGACTCTTCGCGTGGAGACTTTTGCATGGCCAATTTCTGTGTATCTCCGCCAGCAGCAACTTGTTGTTGCTTCTTCTTTGTGCAGCTGATTGTGTTTCTTTTTACTACCCTCTTCTTCTTTTTTTAGCCATTTACTTCTGGGTTTCAGTGTCGATGAATTCGTACGCAAATTCAACTTCAACCGTTTAACATTTAGCGCTTTTGCGTTTTGGTTGGCCGAAAGCAGTCCTCAAATTCGGGTTCAACAATACGAGTATTGTTAACTCTTGCACGAGTTCGTGACTCATTTGTTATCTCTGCCGTGATTTTCATTCCGCTAATGGGAAACCCTTGTCACATTCATAATATACATATTTAAAATTAAGCCTATAAAGGCTGTTATAGTTCATTAAGTAAAATGTTTCCTTCAGCTTCCGTATCCTTATGAATATTCCAAATATTTATACAAATAAACTTATGACTATCCTTATGGGTAGATAATTGTTAACTGTTATAACAAATATTTAAATTATATTTCAAGTTTTCAAAATATATTTGCTTATTATTTATTTAATTATAAATTAATTATAAGCTTCATAATTGTTTTATTTTGGTCTGTGACTAATTTCTGCTAATTTTTTTCCACACTAAAAAAAACAACAGTTATTTTTTCCGTGAAAATATATTATTTTTGTTTTACAACTTGGAAATCGCAGTTGTAGTTACACCTTCTCTTAGTTTTTGAGTCATCGTTATACCACTCCCAAAAATGTTCTTGGTTTTTCTATAGATACCAAAAATTTCAGTAAAAAATTCTATATTGTATTCATTTGAAAGAATGCATTTATTTTGGAAAAAATGAACAACAAGATTTTAAATTTTAGAACTACATAACTATTTCCATGTAACCATATGTATATATCTTTTCTCGTGATTGCTTAAAATACTTAATTCAAACTTATTATTATGCCTGTTCCCTTTAATGGCTTCAAAAAATACCTTTATACAAAGTTTGTACTTAACAGCGTTCTTCAAGGAACTTTGACTTTTAAACTAATTTCCTGGCTTTAATTTCCGGCAATCATTCTTGTTTTTTTCTAAATTGTTTTGCCAAGCCATTTAAGATATTCTAATTTACAAGTTAAAAATAGGTTTTTTTAAGTTGGATGTATCCTATCCTGCCACTGGCTGTCAAAAGCATTTTGAGGTAGAGGTAGGGAATTCGCTGTTCCTGCAAAATGATTGAGCGGGGAGTGACAGTCCGGACAATCCTGCTACTGTGCACGTCACGATGGCAAAAGAAAGCAGAAATCGGTGCGTAAATGCACATGCTCATGTCGGAACTAGTCTTATTTAAGACCAGGGGTTTGGGTTCCAAAAGGGCTATATATAAGACCTCTTTTGCGCTTACTTTGGTTTTCAATTATAGCAAATTTGTTGGCATGTAAGTTTAGGGTTTGTAATTCATCTTGTGTTGATGGAAAAGTATTCTTTAAAATTCAACTAGTAGAAGCAGCGATTAAACTTTGTGTTTTTGATTTTGTCAGCTTTTGTTTAACTCATAGCCTTAGCGGTTTAATTGTATAATATTTATTGTATTATACACAATCTCTCAGACTTCTTATTTAAATGTTCTATAAAAATTCATAGAAAAGTTTTTAATCTGTTTTCAGCATAACTTTTTATAAATACCCTCTGCTTCCTTGAATGCTTATCGCATTTCTGCCCGAATGACCCAATAGACCACTTGAATTGCCATATGTTTCGGTTGCCACATAACATTTAGTTCATTTTCTTTGTACCAGACTTGAGATTCCAATGCACTTTGTGTTATTTCTGTACGCCTAATTGACATGCAGTCTTTATCCCCTCGAAAAGCTCACCCCAAGCATTTTCAGATTATTTTTAAAGCGATTTCAGTTCAATAGACTGGCTTGCCGACCAGATGCACTTTATAAAACCGTGACTGTTCGAAGACATATAAAATATGTACTTCATTTTGCTTGCTTAACACTTGTTTATTGATTGGTTGGCATTACCGGGCAGGTGAAATCGATATGGAGCAGTTTGGAAGTGACCCTGAGACAAGGTGGAAGGTGTGGAGGTGGCCATAACTCTCCTTGGCAGCGCCAGAGTCCATTATTAATATTGGATTGCGTGATGATCTAATGCGCGCGCCTCTCAGTCCCTCCGCTCCTAAATCCTAAATCCCATCACCTCCTTTTGCACCAACCACCTCCAACTCTTGTGTTTGTTTCTGTTTCTGTTTTTATTTTGTTTTTTTCCTGCCGCTCCACATTTTCTACTTTGTTTCTTTGCTGACCCAATTCATCCAAACATTGTTGCAGTGTTGTCGTACATTTTTGGAGCAACTTATCAACGATTTAAACATATATTGCTGACGAATATTCTATCCGGCTGGTATATCAAGTATTAAACTAGTTTAACATTCCCATACCAGTAATTGTAATGCCTTAAATTATTTTTATTGTGCAACCATTTTATCAGCTACTATTTATGCATATTTATAGCCATCGTTATTCATTAACTATTATTCAACCTCTGCACATGACTGATTCCCATATTTTCTCCGAACGTGTTGTTTAAATTTTATATAAGAGCAAATAACTCGTATGCAACTCAAGTGTGATTAAAAAAAACTATTTATCTAAGCCTTTATTTCCACTTGAACAAAATGAATATTTAGCATAATAGCTTTAAAAATTTAAATGTTTTGAAAATGTTTGAAATTTAGTTTTGGGTTTAATTGATTAGAAAAGCATTTCTTCATTATTTAAGTAGTCAGATAATTTATGTTCTCTTTGCGAAATAAATAAATAGTTAAATACATCTGATCTAACTATAATACAGCTAGAGTGTCAACACAGCCATGCTGAAAATTGTTTTCATGCCTCTGAGTAGAATGTCGTTTTCGGAGCAATGTTCGTGTGAAAGTCGAGACAAGAACGTAAACAGTTTGCCTGCCTTGCCCTGCCTAGCTGTCTAGCTGGTCTGAGCATTTCAACTGGCCCTATCATAATTTGTGAACCCAGCCCAGTTTTACCCACGCGCTAATCCATCTTCCCCCTTTTATTTGGATTCCATTGCAGCATGAGCACAACGGCCGCCAGTCTCATTGAGGCGGCTTTAAATGCCAGTAGTGTCAACGCCACAGCTACGACTTCGGGATCGCTTGAGGAGGCAACGGGAAAGCATAACTTCATGGTGCAGGTGAAGAACACGCCGCTGGAGCCGTTGCTCCATGTGGGCGATGGCATCTTCCTGCAGACAAAGACCGCCCAGGTTCTGGCCGGTGTTTGTGTTTGGGCCGCCTTGTTTATCACCTGTCAACAGGTAAGTTGAGTTGTCATTTATCTTGATTCATTTACTCATTGAAATCTTTATTCTTTTGAAGATCTACCAGCATCTGCGCTGGTACACGAATCCGCAGGAGCAGCGCTGGATCGTGCGCATTCTGTTCATCGTGCCCATCTATGCCACCTACTCCTGGATTAGTCTGCTCTTCTTTAACTCGGACAATGTCTACATCTACTTCTTTACAGTGCGCGATTGCTACGAAGGTTTGTCTACCTAATTTGCCAGTTTTAATGTCTAATCATCTAACCGTTAATCCCGTTATTAACTAGCCTTTGTCATCTACAACTTCTTGTCGCTGTGCTATGAGTACCTGGGCGGCGAGGGCAACATAATGTCGGAGATTCGCGGCAAGCCCATCAAGACGTCGTGTCTCTATGGCACCTGCTGTCTGAAGGGCAAGACCTACACGATTGGCTTCTTGCGTTTCTGCAAGCAGGCCACTCTGCAGTTTTGCCTGGTCAAGCCGCTGGTGGCCTTCATCATCATTTTTCTGCAGGCCTTTGGCCACTACCACGATGGTGATTGGAGGTAATATGCTTATCTTTAATTACCGTGCTTATTGTATCTTAAATGATGGCATAAAAAATCGCAGCTCTAAAGTTGGCTTGTTAGCGAGTGCTATTTATGAAACTTTGAACTTAACTAATCGGATTTACGGTTAATTTTATTAAAAACTACTTAACTGCTTTAAATGTATAGTAAATCGAAGATATCGCGTTAATTTAATTTTAAACGTAACTAATCGGCTTGTGATGAATTTCAATGGTTAATAAAAAGTTGTGAATAAGTAAAACTTAGAATGAATTTACAATGCACAGAGTAGCATATTTCTAACCCAAATATTTACTTAGTAATTTCCACTTCTACCTTTTTGAAAATACCTTTAATATCTCTTTTTATCTCCATTGCAGTGCTGATGGCGGCTACATTTATATAACGATTATCTACAACATCTCCGTATCGCTTGCGTTATATGGTCTCTATCTGTTCTACTTTGCCACCCGTGATCTGTTGACTCCGTTTGAGCCCGTGCTGAAGTTCTGCACCATCAAGTCGGTCATCTTCTTGTCCTTCTGGCAGGGCGTGGGTCTGGCCATCCTGGAGAAGGCCAATGTTATCTCGCCCATTGTGGACAGTGCAGGCACTGTCACCGTGGAACCTGGTACTGTTTCCGCCGGATACCAGAACTTCTTCATCTGCATCGAAATGCTGTTCGCCGCCATTGCGCTGCGCTATGCATTCCCCTATCAGGTGAGTTCCGTAATGGGCCAAGATTTGACGGAGCTATTTACGATTTCACGCGATTAGATTGCGGCAAATTAGGTGCTTTTCTTGGTTATTTTGGGTGTTTATTAGGCGACGTTTATTTTCTAATTGGGAGATAATACATGAAAAGTATTCATGTAATGATGACTGTGCTAAAAAATATACTTCTTTAAAGATAAAATATAGTTAAATGTCGAATGAAGATGGATTTGATCATTACTATACATACATATATTTGTAATGGTCTATGTAGCCATAAATTCAAATTACAATCTATAACTACTTTTGTATAGCGAAATTTTCTCTTAAGATAAAATGAATAAGTCAAGATGAAAATATATTGACCATTAGCATGTTTAAAAGGATAAATAAATTACAACTATTTTGAAAAGTACATATTTGTAAACAGTTATATTAATATAAAATTTTCTAAAAATACTTTTGTACACTCTTTGTAGGTCTACGCACGCAGCTGCATCAGTGATGGTCATGGACGATCTGTCACCATGCAGTCCATTTCAAGCAGTCTTAAGGTAAGCTTTGCCATAACTACCTTCGAGTTTCCTTCGATCTAAAACACCTGTTTTTCTACAGGAAACGATGAATCCCAAGGATATTATGACAGATGCTATTCACAACTTCCATCCGCAGTACCAGCAGTACACGCAGTACAGCTCAGGTTGGTTTTTTTCCGAAATCTATTTTCTTGACTATTTAGACCAAATTCTCTTTGTGCTCGTGTCTGTGGCATGTTACGTTCTTTTCTTCGTGCCTGCTTAACTTATCTTATCTCTTGTGTTCTGTTGCTCTCATTTAATGCATTTCGATGCCTATTGTCATTCCATTATCGTTATGTTTTTCACATTTTTGTTTTTCTTTCTTGTTTTTCTTATCTTTTGCAGAAGTAACCTCGGCTCAGCGTTACGAAAAGCTCTAAATCAATGTCAAAAGCAAAACTCTAGCGATGCTCGCTACTAAACACTAATTGCAATTACAATTCCAAGCGGGACTCCATCCGAAAACAAAGCAAACAAGTGTACTTATAGCCTTAGCTTAAAACCCCCAAGAAGTATCCCCAAACACGACAAAACTCAGAAAGGAGATACGTACTAGGCCTAGTTACTTATGATACTTACTCACTCCACAAAATGCTGAAAGCTGAACAGAAATTGCCTTAGCCTGACCTTTGTTTTTAGGGATTTTAGAGTTCCCCTTTCGCCGCGCGCCTCTGTCTGTACTCTTTCACTTATACTTTACACTTAAACTTAAGCGTTTTTTAAACAACTTATTTAAATGTTAGCTACGTACGAAACGAACTATAATATTGTACAATATTATGTATTTGTAAACAAAGATTTTATTATACTGTATACAATATCGGTAGCTGCTGCAACTAGATTCTTCGTTCAACAGCAGTCTTCAAGTTAGATTCGCCTCAGCATTTATTTACGTATTTCCGGTTCGCTCAAAGATACCAAAAAACTAAGTTTTTCTTTATTTTCTTTTGATTTTTCTTCCCTGACAAACTTTTTTTTGTGATAAGCTCTCGTCGTGCTTCTATTTACTTCTGTTTGTAAATGTTTAAATCCATTGTATAAAATATCTAAAATATCTAGCAATAAATGTACGATAAGCTTGACAACTATTTTTGCCTTGCCTTGCCTCGTTTTCTTCGTAGCATGCTCATTGGCCTCATTCTGAATATATATTTATACCTGTACCTTGATTAGGAACTAAGTTTTTAAGTTTTCTAAATAATTTAAACATAATAATTTAGTCTTAAAAACTCATTGAGGTTAAAATTGCATGCAAAAATTAAAAAATAAATTATTAATTAGTACGAAGACAATTTTAAAGCACAATTCTTTGCAGTTAAAATTTGCTGCTCTTAAAATATTTTAAAAACAAAATGAATAAAACTAAACAATATATATAACTAAGTTTTCTTGCAAACAGTTCTCTTAAAGAATATTAAAAAAATTATTTTTATCTGGTACTTAGAAACTTTTCAATAATCAAACCATATTCATATTCATATTTTGATCATTTTGAAGCGTATTTCCATTATTAAAAGGATTTTTGATCAACTTTTTCTCTCTTATATCAAATTTTAAAGTTGCTCTTTAATGTTTTAGTGGTTTTATAGTGAACTTAGCTTAGGAACTTAATCAAGGCATAGGTATTGCAAGCATGGCATGATCTAATGGTCCCTGTATATAGATATAGTCCCTTGATCCGTGTGACCCGGTATGATTAAGTTCATTCCCTCCACTAACACCCAAACAGGTGGCAAGAACTCGCGCGGCATTCGCGTCTCCAGCTACGATCCGGATGATCCGAGCTCGGGAACTGGAACAGGATCCATGCAGGCGTCATCGCAGCCCACCAGCGGGGGATACAATGCGGTGGCCACTGGTCCAGGATCTGGCGGAAACGGCGGCAGCAACTGCATGGCCTCAAAGACGCTGGGCAACCAGAGGAAGTTCCAGCCTGGTGGTCAGCGAGTGGCCACCATCAGCCAGAACTACAACGAGAAAACCATGCTGCTGAGCAGCGACGATGAGTACCAGTAGAGAGGGTTTGGGATTATTGTTATCATCCCGCACCTATTGTTAACAAAATTAAGTCTTTCGTTCGGACCCAATTCGATGGGGTTACAGTTTCGTTTATCCAGTTTGCTGATTCTGTCGCTTGTACAATAATCTTAAGTAGCCGAGCAGCATAGAGCATCACAACCTATTAGGCAATTAAAGAGAACTCATTGATATATCTTGTATATTAGGGTGTGTAGATGAAGGGATGTAGTCTATGGATAATGCAGAGATATTCTTTCCAATAAATTAAGCAGAAACTAAATTGTATTGGTTAAATATTGTTTTTTTTAACAATAAAACCTTATTGAAGTTTTTTGAAAATAAGTAATATATCCATATATCTGAAATATCCATAGATTACTCTTTCCATCCAGGATCGACTAGCCCTATATCGTATATTCCCTTATGTATGTAGGGTACGACTTAATCTGCGCAAAGCTATTTTGTATTTTTACACCGCATATGTAATTTGATTCGCTTCGATTCCATTTCTCTTGTGTAAATTTGTCAGACAATTTAATTGTAAAGCGAACCAAAAACTGAATAGAAATCAAAAGTAGCAAAAACTGAACTGCAACTGCACTTCTTGCGTCTCACGAACCGTCTACAACAGGCTGCTTCAACAATAATTACTGGCGGAGAAGCTGAGGATAATCTACACAGACAAATATATTTATAAGCCAAGGCTAATTTTAAAGCAAACTTAACACAATACATAGCTAACTTAGAGCGAATTTGTTAGGATGATTGAATGAGACCAGGTCCAGAACCCAGAATCCAGAATTATATGACCCATTCCGGACTCGAAATGTATAAAAGAATTTTACCCTGTACAGAGAAAGTAAGGAATTCCACAATTGGCCACTACAAAAAGCAGTCGAGAGCAGTATTTTGATAACTAGCCAGGCTTACCATCAAATTACGAGTGTGTCTGGACCCACGGAGTGAGCGGTGCCGGAAAACCGAGCGGAAAAACCATAGGAAAAGTCAAATTATGTATAATTATCGGGAGTGAAGTAAAGGAAAACCAAAGCAGTAACGTTTTTATGTACATTTTTCGTTAATTATATGAAATGAAAATAAAGTAAATGTCATAAAGTACTCAAAATCCATTTATGTATATAATAACTGCGGTGTTTTATTGACTTCGGAATGTAATACCAAATAGTAAGGGTAAGTAGAGTAAAGCTAAAGTAATGAAAATGTCCTTTGCAGTATTATAGCAAACAAATTTTTAGAACCAATCAATTGGTCACAGATAACTTTTCTGAAATATTTTAAAAAGAAAATTGTTTCAAAAATAATCGTTATAGTTTTCAGCAATGCACCTAGTTTTTTACCACTTTTCCAAGATCTAAAAGATTTAGCGGTGGATAAATGATTATCTTTAAATATTTAAAGCAGTCAAAAAATAAGTCATGATATAATTCATCTTTTAACTTTTCTGAAATAATAAAACCGTTTTAGTTTAAAGAAATCACTTTAATATTGCCACCTAGATGACTTCTGTTATAAAACCGTTGATTTTTAACATTTATTGTGGTATTTTCGATATACCGGTAACAAAAGGTCTTAAAAAATAATAATATGCAATTCACTTTTTAGAATTTAAAAACAATTTTTAAATGTAAAACATGAGTGATGTGTTATGTTACCAATTTTAACAGAGGGTGTGCAAGAACTGGAGTGGAACCTGGCTAAGTGCGCAAGAACAGTGACAATAAAATATTGTTTGAGACGGACAACCTCTGCAAAAATTCGATAACAGCGATACTTTGAAAAAATCGTTGCTGGCATCGAAGTTTCTTCACCTCTAGACGCGAAACTAACCACGAACAGAAGAATAGAAGGAGAAAGATAATAAAAAATCCACCTCAATGTTTGGGATAGATAAACATCGAAAGTCCCTGCCAAACATCGATAAGATCGATATTTTGAACAATCGATGTTGGCATCGAAGTTTCTCCACCACTAGAGAAGAAGAAAGTAAAGAAGGAGAAAGAAAATAACACATCTAGTCGCGAAAAACGGTTTATTTTCAAAAGACGGTTGCAAACGCGGACAAAAATTTGTCTAAAAACTGATAAATTAAAAAAAAAAAACGTTGAACAACTTTTTAAACATTTTTCGAAAATTATTAGCTCGACGTGAAATTTAAAAAAAAACGTTGAGCCCCCTTGTCACGTCGTTGCGACGTTTTTTTTAAAAGGTAGTTAGAGCAGTCAATTGGCCAGCAAAACGGCTCGTTTTGATCGGGTCCTAAACCTGCATCCAATTGGTGTATTAAACGGCGGACAGGTGCCAGCGGGTAATTCAGAAACGGAGAGAAACACGCACGCGAAAAAAGAAGTTGTGCGGAAAAACCAGTTATGTATTCGCCCCAAGTTCGCGCAGTGTTTCCTTTTTGCTGAGCAACAACAACAACAACAATAACCGAAGGCAGAAAAGCCTGTCCAGTTTCGACATTCCCCATAAGAAATCCAAAAAATGTCAATGAAAGTGTCGTGCGATAAAGCCAATTTATCAAAATAACTAAACAAGATTTTCCCACTGCTATTTCCTTCTACTATGCTCTTGTTTTAACAAACCAAAAAAAGTAAGTACAAGCCAAGTATACACACACGAACTTGTAAATTGAAGAGTTGTTGTTTTTGTGTGGGTTTTTGGCATCTTCTTTTCCTTTTTTTCGCTTCCTTCTTAGTCGCCTCTGCTTTTGGGTGTGAGTGTTGTGCAAAAGGCAGGTAGAAAGAAACGGTTGATAAAAAAAAAAGAAAAACTCAAGGGCAGACGTGAAAAAGGCTATTTTTAAACCCCTTTGTGGTTAATTTTATTCACCATTTTATTGGCACAATTTACAAGTAACATTTTATGTAATTGGGAAATATAGCGTAAGAATTCAGAATCCCAGGGAAAAATCAATAAATCAGCGCCGCTGCAGCTGTGTTTTCATCTTGCATGTGTATGCGTGGGCTGTTTTGGAGCCGCCGGGCGTAATTGGGGTAGGAATCGCCACCTCTCTCGCTCTCTAGCACTCTCCACGATTGCACTCTCCACCTCTCTGTTATCCTTGCCATCTTTCTTACACACACTAAAGTACACATTGGCTTACGTTATCTGTGTGAGCCGCAAACAACAAATAAGCCGCTATACAAAAAACGCGTATTTTGGCGTCCGCTCTCTCATACCTCCCTTTTGTTCTCCTACACTTTCTCCCCCCTCCCCCCTGCCACACTGCATTTTCTACATGCAAATAAGAAAAATCAATAAAAACCCGCTTCGCATCAAGAGCTGTGAAAATAAAAGTCATCTAAGGCCAAATACAAACATGGAAATAAGTTATTAACCCAATTTGCATATGTGAGAGCATCGTCATCTTCGTCAAAAAGAGAAAATACTATTTGGCTGCGAATAATGACTATAGTTAATCAATCAAACCAACACGAAATTCTGCGAACAGCAATTTTATATGACTCAGTCAAAATTCAAATACCAACAGCTGTCTGCATTCAAATTTAAACTTCTAGCACTCTGTTTTCTGGACCCCAGAGCAAAAACTTTGCGCTATAAGCAAAAAACAGAAGCGTGGGCGTTCCGTTTTGGCCAAAAGTCAAGTGGCTGATGGACTTAAGGGGTCTTACCATGCGTCACTGTTCTAGTGCAGTTCTTAACCTTATCTTGGCCAAATACTATAAAAAAGGGGTGGTGGAATCCCCTCAAGTTTACTGGGGAACGAGACCATTAACTATGTATTACCATGATATCACATTGATTGAAGCGAAGTCTTCCAATATTTTCTGTAGTCATTAACCCACCTTTCTGGGAAATTAGGTTGCCAAATTTTTCTATTTTTAGTGGGTAGTAAATTTAGTGCCTCATTGCGGTTTCTGACAATCGATCAATTATTGTATTTAGCCTTTTGTCGCATGCGAATTTCTTCGTATCGCGGAAGCCGGTATTACCGGGTATCAAATCAGGGCGCCAGTAACGCAAGATTGTTTATGTTTACTCACCATAAATACGAAAATTCCTACGTTATCTTTTAATGGACTAACTAAACAGGACGTAAATGAAGTTTTGAAGCTTTATCATGTGTAAAGAGAATTTCATTAGATAAATTTACAATATCAAAAGCATTATTTTTAAGTAGAGAGAGAGAATAAGCTTATAAACTTACATATACCTATGATATTTGTATCTTGGAGCTATCTTTTTCTTAGGTCACCCCTAACTAGTCCAATAAATGTGTGTTATAAGTCTGGGGCCTTCGGAACATATTTTAAAACTAAAATTGGTTCTGCCAACCGACATGTTCTTTCTAGCATGTGACCACTGTGTGGCACATGAGCTCATTTCCACCACTGACCTAGAATAGTTTTCCCTCTAATTCTCTTTATCCACACTGTAATTTACAACAATTCGCGCTGGCTGCCAAAGCCAACGCTAAAAGCCTCACTTTGTAGCTCACTTATTTTAATTGTCGCATTTATTTTGACCACACGCATGAATTTGTTCTCAGTGTGTGTGCGAGCGAGATGCCAAAGACATGACGCCATATTGCGTGTCAGAATGAGAAGGGAAAAGAGATGGCATAAGAAGGGGTGAAGAGGGGAGCAAACAGCTGACACTTGACTCTCCACACAAATTGCAATTACAAATGTTTTTTACCGTTAGGGCGGCGACGCAACCACATGTAAATGTAAGTGTGCGCTACCGACTTTTTTTACTTGCTTCTCATTTTCCATTTCCATTAGCAAAAGACAGAAGCGGAAAACGGGCGAAAACAAATGCAAAACTAATTTTCAATTAGTTAATCAGTTGGAACCCTAACAACTGTGGGTGTGTGTGAGGCGTGTGGGTTGTCATATCAGCGGTACTAGAATACTCAACTTAAAAAGATATGGGAAAGTGCGCCACTTTTACAATCACTTTGAGTTGGTTAATACGATGAACCTACAGATATGTCCAAGACTTAAGCATCACATGTTTATTTAAGAAGTCAATTGGTTATAATTCTAAAAAGTTTTATTGGTTTTATTGATTATACTAATAAAAATGTGGAACACACATACGCTACTAAGAATATAAATTGAACATTATTTTCGTATTTTAGAGAATATTAGTAAAGTAATATTAGAGAATATTAGTAAAGTAAATTTTTGTATTATTAAATTGGGATTTATACATGTCTATATATATCATTCTTTTTGAGTACTTTGTTAACCACTATTATTTGAACGAACGCTGTAAATGCTTGCATACACAAAAAGGGAGATAAGCTAGTCTTGGGCACCCAAAAATATCGGTTGCAGGGACTGTTTACTGTGCCCTCACCTAATTTTCACACATTTGCTTGCAGGCCGAGTTTTTGTACTGGTATTTGCCGAGTTTCCACGTTCGCCGGCCTCGTGTTGTTTGCTTTTGTTTGTTGCCTTTCGTTTGGACTGTTTGTTTGTGTGAAAGTGAGTCAAATGCGTTCGTTTGGACTTGTGATATGCTTTCCTAGGCACGGGTCCCCCAACATTCCCATTTGCCGACCCCCTATTTCTCCCGCATTCCCTCCATTAGTTTCTGCCTTATCAGCAGGGTCTTTCTGTCTGTTGTTTTGTGGCGTACTTTTCCATTGAACCTTTAATGGTCGACCTGCAGCCGATTTAATTATTGAATTTATTACTGTTCCAACGTCTGCAACGAATTTGGTACACAACAAAAAATAAATGCTGAGTAATAAAATGAATTCGAAACACTTTCAGATTTACATTTTGGTCACACTAAGTTTAAAACGCCAAGATATTACGTTAGTCAATTTTGTTGTTTTGGTAAAGCAAATATAAACAACATTTTTAGGTTGAAGATTTGACTACTTAAAAGTTTTTCCAATTTTATCCAAATTTTTGAAATGGGAAAGTTGTTAAATTCTAACTTAACTTAACAATTTGATTTTCGAATCAGCAAAATTTTAAATCTCCTTTTTTCTGTTTTAGTATAATTAATTCCAAATGGTTTTTTTTATAGAGGAAATACGAAGATGCTTTTTCTTAATGAGAGAACAATTAATTTTCGATAACTAGCTTGTACTTAATTAAGACTTAATTCTTTACTCAGTGCACCCCTTCTCTCATTAGCTTTAA